TAATAAAGCTATGTTATAATGCTTTGATAAAGTCTTGTTTTGCTTCGTTTTGGAAAGTATTTGTAAGCATGAATGGTTATTCCTAATTGGAAATATATATATTATCTTGTTTTGATGACATTCTTGGAAGTCCGTACGTGCTAAGGGACTATAAGCATTTGTAGCACAAAGTTTGGAAGTCCGTACGTGCTAGGGGACTATAAGCATTTGTAGCACAAAGTTTGGAAGTCCGTACGTGCTAAGGGACTATAGGCATTTGTAGCACAAAGTTTGGAAGTCCGTACGTGCTAAGGGACTATAAGCATTTGTAGCACAAAGTTTGGAAGTCCGTACGTGCTAAGGGACTATAAGCATTTGTAGCACAAAGTTTGGAAGTCCGTACGTGCTAAGGGACTATAGGCATTTGTAGCACAAAGTTTGAAAGTCCGTACGTGCTAAGGGACTATAAGCATTTGTAGTACAAAGTTTGGAAGTCCGTACGTGCTAGGGGACTCTAAGCATTAGTAACACAAGTCCTTAGTGTCAGGGGACTATAATGCAACGGCACCATTGAATTGAGATATCTCCCTTGTCTTGCCTTGTCTTGTCTTGTTTGCCACCGACGGTTTACCGCGTGGGTTTTGTTTGCCGAGATGTCATCACTTGTATTGTAATGATGTTAGTAAGCATCCTTTGAAACTTGACAGATTTGGAAGATGGACTTGGTTCATCCTTTGACTTGCACTAAATATGCTATGTATTGCTTTGATAAAGATCTTGAATACCAGTCATACAAACCCCTTTATTTCTTATACCATTCACTGAGTATCCAAGCTCACCCTCTCTATATATATGTAGGTGATGAGCAGGAAGGCGGTGACGCCTAGGTGTGACTCGCAAGCTTGTTTTGGGTTTTTGGTTATGTCGGCCTAACTTGTATTCATGCTGGCAGTCTTGAAAACTATGCTTCTCGGCTTAAAATGTTTGTAATTTACACATGCCGGCTGGAGAAGTCTTTTGATCAAGATGTAAAATGTATTTTGTACTTTATTGTAATTGTATCCAAGCTGTAATATTATGTAAAGTTGCATGCCATTCTATGAAACTTATGCACTGCTCTTCTGGACCACTTGTATTTTTAAATTATTGCTTCCGCACTTGTGAGCCCCATATATTTTTATACTCTGATTGTGTGTGGATTTTGAAGGTTGGCCTTCGGTAATCCCGGATTACTGGCCATCACGGCACCAAACTAGTAGGGGCGGTTTGGGGTCGTGACACTAAAAATCCAATTAGGGATTTAAGTATCTCCCTTTTGAAAGTCTTTCTCCTGTATCAACTGAAAGGCCACCAATATCTCCCTCTCCACAAAAAACCCAACCACCACAACCAAACACCACAGACCCCACCAAAAAACCCACAAAACAACCCACAAAACAACCACACTACCTACAAGAAAAAGCCCAAGAACTACACCACAGACCCCATCTACACAACAAACACCAACCACACCTCCAACCACAACAAAAACAAACAAAAGAAAGCCAACAAAAAACACAAGAAGCTCCTCCAACCAAAAAAAGAAAGCTCCAAGAAAGCCAATCAACTCCCAAAATAAAAACCAAGGCATCAAAAGGGAAAAAAGCAACAGTCCCTGCAAAGAGAGTCCAACAGTTTAATTAATGTTCCAACATCGGAACAGTAATCAAACTGTTGAAGGGGGTCAAATTCACAAAGCTCAATAGACAAAGTTGGAAAAAATCCCTTTTTGGCCTATTATAAATGCTCTCTTCTCAACACAACTAAAGGCCTCTTGGTGCAAATGCTATAATTCCATTGTAGTAGAAATGACAACACTCTACAACAAAAGAAAAAGAGCATTTATACTTGGCAAAAACGAAATGAAACTCAGAAACAGTGATGTCAAGCTTATTTTGGTATCGGCTGTAGAGAAGACAGTATCACCACCAAATCCTATGCAAGACCAAAGGGTTTTGAGCTTGCATTTTACAAACGAAGATGCAAATCAGTAAAGAGATTGGATGGCAAGTCTTTGACCAAAATGTTTCAACAAACAAAAAAAGGAAAATCAACCAATGATCGTCAAGATCTTGCAAGGGTCATCACCCTTTACTTGTGCTTGAAACTTCTCATGCATACAACAGGCCATACACTCAATTAGAGTTTCCTCAACTATGCTGACAATCTCAACAACATCAAGAAGTACAATTGAGTTGAGGCAATAAAAGACACACTGATGAATTCAATGGCAAATGCAAACAACAACCCAAGGCATGTTACTGGATGCGTCATGTTACTCTTGGTAAACACACTACTCAACTACTTCACACAAAAATATCAAACATCCACCTATTTCTAACTATCTAACATATTTCAATTTTTGTTTACAATACTGGTACTGTGAGCACAGTAAACTCCTCCCACCAACCTATAAAGAAGGCTTCCCAAGGTTTATGAAATGGAACCTTGGCAAAATGTACTGCAAGTGGAAACACATCAGCCTTGCTCACTTTGAAAAGGTATTCAAACTCTTCTATATTATCATAGCACAAATCTATTCAACACTCATTTCACAGTCATTATAGTAAAAAGCATGTTATGAAACTGTCAGATTCTTCAGTTTCAAACAACATATATTCAACACTTGACTCACATTATTCACAGTACAAATCATATTATGAAACTGTAAAAGTATGCACTTTCAAAGCACACACTTATTTAACATCACTCATGTTATGAAACTGCAAAAATTTACAGTTTAAATGCACAAATCTATTTCACATCACTCATATTATGAGACTGTATAATTTTTCAGTTTCAAACAACATATTTCGACACTTAACCCATATTACTCACAGTACAACTCATCTTATGAAACTGACCAATTTTACAGTATTACTGATATATGTCATATTGTTCCAATGCAGGTTGACCAAAGTGCTTTAACCCCAATTGAACAAGAAATACAGTTATTGCATATCAATCAAAGCACATCAACAGACTCTTCAGCAAAGAAACATGACCACAAAAAAGACAATAAGACTTCTAGACAGTGATGAGGACAACTTTCTCGAAGAAGAACATCAATCAGAATCAGAATCAGAACACGAAGAACAACAACAACAAAAAAAAGCAAAAACCACAAGAAGAACTAGAAAGTGATGAACAAGAAGAAGAGAGTGATGATGAAGAAGAAACTGAAGAAGAAGAAGAGGTTGAGGAACAACAAGACAATGATGAAGCAGAAGAAAGAGAAGAAGCAAAATGTGATCACCAAGAAGACACTGATGAAGAAGAAGACCAACAATAAGAACACGAAGAACAACAAACAAACCAATAACAAGAAGTCAATGAACAAGAACTAATAGACCAACAACAACAACATGAAAAAAGAGAACAAGCAAAACAACAAGAAGAACAAAGGACAGAACAACAAGAAGAACTCCAAGAGAAATCTGACATATTTCATGCACAAGGTAAACTCTTATCTAATTCTGAAGCAAACTGAAAAATTTAATTAAACTAACCAAAACACAATCCAACATTTTTATAGGTCATGACCAAGCACAAACATCAACCAAAGAGGACGACAAGAACAAGCTCATATCAGCCATGAGAGCACAAATGCAAGAAATGGGACAAAAATTCATGGCTAAATTGCGTAAAAAATAAAATCAATTGAAGGAAATGTCCGCCAAAAAAACTGGCAGTCCCCAACAAAGATCAATGGTCAAGAGAATCAAACAAAAGTTAAGAAAACAAGCACATGACCCAGATTTTGAATACCAACCAATGACAAAAGCCAAAGAAGATACAAGGAACAAGACACAAACTACTGCTGATGTACCCAAACCAACAAAGGGTACCGATGAAGAAAAAGAGAAGAAGAATGAAAAGAAAAAAGAAGAAATCAAAACAGAGACAGAACCTGCTACTAAACCCGAGCAAAAAGAGGGTGCTCATGAAGCAAAACAACAACAGAAAGAAAAGATGCAAGAAGATATTGGCCAAGAGAAAGAACTTGCTGCTGAAACCAACCCAAAAGAGGATGCTAATCAAGAAAAGACACAACTTCAAGTATTGGAAAGTGATGATGATTTCAAGGAAGAATCAATCCAAAACAAGCCACTCGCCATTTCATGTCGCAAAACAAACAAGGTTTGGCATAGCCTATCCAAAAAAGACCAAGACCAAATTCAACTCATCAACAACACATAATCAAGTACTTGTGTCTGGTCTGGCATCGAAGATGAAAAATGCGTATACTTTTCAGATATATGCAGATTGACCAACAGGGAACCCTTATATGGGAATGTAGGTCTCCAACTGCACAATTTTATAGTTTCTGTTCATATTCAATAACCTATTCCACAACCTAACACATTCTCATATATAACATGTTTCAAGTCATTGATGCCTTCTCAGAAATGAAATTGGCACTCCAACCATCCATTGAAGAATTTGAGGAACATGATCTAGCCTTTGCAAGAAATTCATACGCGGGAAGATCTTACGTTTTCTCAACACTCATCAATGTAAGCAAAACTTAACATACCTTTCAATATTATTCAAACTGCAAAATTTTCTACTTTCTTAACATGTTTTACTACATAGTTTTATAACATATTTCCAACATGTATATAAATTACAGACTCCACTACAAAACCAAGATCAAGCACTGAGAGAAAAAATGATGGACAGCCATTTTCCAGAAGCAATGAAAAACAGATATGTCCATTTCCCAATCAACCACGACAACCATTGGACAATTGTGGTTTTTGACAATGCTGATGGGATATGGAGGCACTATGACTCTTTGAGACCAACAAAAGATTGCCACAACAAGCACTTTGAAATTACAAAGGAAATTGTAAGTTAAATAAAATTTCCTACTTAGTTCCATTCCTTAAAAAACATCTCAACTCATCACTATAATTAACAAAAACACCTACTAACTATTTTGTAGCAACAACATCAACTGACATGGAACAAAGCATTATTCAGCAATCAAGGAAACATGTTATCATCTCAAGAGTGCAAGACAATAATTGCATCAATTGAGGAATACCCACAACAAACCCTACACTCGTGAGATATAAAATCAATAAACTAATGTTCCAATATGCCAAATTTTGCAATTTTACCTAACTAATTAAGTTCATCTAAAACTTTGTAGGAATGATTGTGCAATCGCCGTTTGCAATGTTATCAACCAATATATCAACTGGCAACCTGTGTAGAAATCACTTCGACCAACTGAGTGGGTCAAATTTCGAGCAGAAATCATCAGTCAATTCCTTAATGATGAGAACCGATCTTGGAAACTCGAGCACTACCAAATGTTGACAAAACAAACCAAACCATAGAAACAATGAACAAACTTCTTCTATCTTTGTACTTTTTTTTTTTTTTTTAACATGTGACGAGTATATTATATACTTTTGGGAATGATCTTCTTCTGGTTATTATGGTGAAAATGATTGTTGTCATTGATGTTGTTGTTGCTCTTCTTCTTGTTATTATTATTGTTATTGTTCTTCTTGTGCTTATTATACTTATTTGTGTTCTTCGGCTTATGTTTGTGTACTTGTTTGTGGTTGCATATATTTTCATACAGTAAAGGTTGTTTCTAATAATTCTTCAAACTGCAAAATTATGCAGTTTCATTACTCAAACAAAAATTATTCTACACAATTATGCATCCAATTTCATGACTCAACAAATAGATGAACTGCATTTCAAAATTGAAAATAAAATTGCAAAATTTTACAGTTTTTTCACTATGAAATATGAAATAAATAAATCATGTAGTAAAACTGCATTTCAATATTATACAGTTTCAATAAGAAATTATCAATAACCTTCTCAGCATTCCATGAAAATAAAACCAACCAAATCCACAAAAAATAAAAAAATAAAAAACAAAATAAGACTGTTACAAAACAACTTCAATAACTAAAGAATACATCAAAAAAACAAAAAATAATTCAACCAACTTTATTCATTACTTCCATAATACCAAGTATCACATTTTTTATTATCATAATTTCTCAAATTCAAATACAAATCCAAAAGAATAGACTATGGCCTCAAATAGCAGCCTTGCACGTCTTCTTATTGTGATTCCCATATTTCAAGCACCTCACACACTTGATCTGCTTCACATTTTCACCCCTAGAAGGTATCATCTTCTTCTTGTTCCGCCCGGGCTGCTTCTTCGTTATAGGAGGTTTGATAATCGAACTATCGGCACCATTAAAGTCAAATCTCTTACTTGAAGGCACTGAATAAACAGATTCCTTGTACGACTCTCTAAAACAATCCACACAAAAAAAAGGATTAATGAATTCATACACATCTCTACTACTACTATGCAAAGCATGCGCAACATGACAACAAGGATAACCATTCAATTGCCATTCATGACAAGAACAAGTTCGTCTACCAATATCAACATAAAAAGAAATAGAAGAATGAACCTCAAGCACAGTATCACTAGCAACAATCACATCCCAAGACTTAGCTAGCTTCAAAGAGTCCACCAACTTCTTTTCCATAACTGGACACAATTTCGTAGCCCATCTTCTAGATTCAGCTCTTCTATTAGATAATTGAGTCATAATTTGAACCCTAATCATATCAACCATACAAGTAATAGGCAACTCACGGGCCCCACCAATCCAATTATTATAAGACTCGGCAGCATTAGATGATATCTCACCATATCGTTTCCCTCTAAAAAATGCATTGGCTCACTTATCATTTTGCAAACCATCCAACATACTATCAACTCTACCATTCCCAGCAATACGCCTCAATTTCTCCATATAATGTTGGAACGAAGCAACCGTTGGCGCATAAGCACATTTAACTAATATTTTCATCAAACTCAGCTTATAGTTAGTACGAAGTCCCACCAATTTGTCAATCAAATTTCTCTTCAAATGATTCAAGTAATATGCATGATGTGCATTGGGCAAAACCACTGAAAGAGCGTCTAGCAATCCATGTTGATGATCAGACACAAAGGTTAATCTCCGGCCTGAACCAACAACCTTTAACAACTGACTTAAGAACCACATCTAGTTATCTTGATTTTCAGCGTCAACAATCACAAAAGTCAAAGGAAACAGACTTGCAAACAAAATAACATGAAACTGCAAAAATTAGCAGACTCACAATACAATAGCACACTGACAAACCAAACCTATACTAATTGCAAATAAATACATACCTTGATTACCATCCTTGGATGTTGCTGCAAGCAAAAGCCCCATGTAACGCCTCTTGAAGAATGTACCATCAACAAACAACAACGGACGACAAAATTGAAAGCCATACAAACATCCATGAAATACCACAAACAACCTCTAAAAACAACCACTACTTTCATCCACATCTAATTCAAACACACTTTCCGGATTCGTTCTCATAGCCGTCTCAAGGTACCATCGAAGTTGGTCAAAAAAAGTTACAAAATCACCAAACAACCCACCTCTTGCCTTATCAACTCCTAACCATGCAACCCGATAAGAAACATCTATACCATATTGCTTCTTTAAATTTTTTTTTTAACTTCAATAGGACGAGTCAACGGATTATCACTAATATCATTATGCACAATATCAGACATAAGTCTAGAACCAACCATTTTGCTACAAGATCTACGAGCGACAACCCCACAAGTATGCACATTATCCAACTTCATTATAAAAAAAAATACCGGAAATCATCAACACCCTTCCATGCACAAGCTATTTACAACCCGTAGACGACTTCATCATACATTCAGCAGTTACTCTTGTTGCATTGCTCTTCAAATAATTCACTGCAAAACCACACTCAACTACATACTTAGCCAATGCAATACGGAACGCCAGCACTCTACCTTCAAATTCTTGACCAACACTACGTATAATCCCCTTCCAACAACAAAACTCTCCCTGGTTCTGGATAAAAACTAGGCAACAAACCACTAAAATCATCACAATCGTTAACCAAAGAACTCTCACAAATTACAAAATCAATCCTACAAGAATTATCATCATCAACCTCCACAATTCTCTTATCACCCACAACAACATCAACAACATGAGAACCACTACAACCTACCATTGGCAACATATTCCCCAAATCATCATCACATTCAACAATACAATTAGAATATCCAGAAATAGAGAAAAACAAACAAAAGTTACCAACACTCAACTTCTTGAACTTCGCATATATTTTCTCAACAACTTCATGATAACTACATCCCTCACTAATCTTAATAACAGCACACGAATTACTATATTTGCACATTAACATGAAACACCCCTCCATACTACAAAATCACAAACCAGCAAACAATTGTTCACAGATTTCAAACTGTAAAATTATACAGTTACAACATATCAGTATCAAACCACTAGAATTCACAATTCTAAACTACAACTTCAAAACACATTACACTATACAACAAACAAAATCAACAAAATCAAAATTATTACACTATAATATCACCTACAAAAATCACAAAATAAGTATCAAACAAACAAAATTTATCACAAAACAAAGAACTAAAACAACATTGCCAAACACAAACCAGATATCACGCAAATTTGCTTATCTATATATACATACATATATGTATCGACAGATACATACGCAGATACAAACCAGATACACACAAAGATATATATATATGTATATGTATGTATTGACAGATACATACATATATGTATTGACAGATACAAACCCGAGAGAGAGAGAGAGAGAGAGAGAGAGAGAAAGAGAGAACGTACGCAGAGATCGCCTATACAGTGAGATTCAGATTGCACAACCAGATCCACCTCACAGCATAATGAGATTGACCACACAGCACAATGAGATCGCCATAATGAAGAGAAATCGAGATCGCAGAGGCAAAGATTTGATTTTCTTTTTTGAACGGAGCAAATATTTGATTTTTCACGTATATATAGATCTCAAAACAAAGGGTAATATAGTCATTTACAAAATACGAAAATAAAAAACGGGACCTCTGGGTATAAAACTTAAAAAACTATGGACCAATTAATCTATTAAAAATATATTGGGATTAGAAAGGAAATAGATCTCCTACATAGGACTACATAGTAATTTTTCCTTTTTTTAATGTTCTGGCCAATGAGTAGTTTTACAAACCTTTTCTCTGTAACTTAGAGAAGGAGACACTGCAGCCACAAAAACAGAGAGGAGAGGGGAGGCCAAGGGTTTTGGAAAAATTCTGTCCAGCAGTGATCAAGCTATACGATCAACAAGCATCTATGATCCGATTGAGCTGAAATTTGGTAGGCAAGTTCACAACTCAAGACTCTAAATTATGGACGGTGGAGATCAGATTTGGAGTATTCTACTGCTGGTTTTTGGCCCGTGAACAATACCCTTTTTGGTGAGATCTTTCCTTAACTTTGTATTTTGATCTTTGGTTGCCAAGAAAGCTTATTTGTAAGTTGTTCTTGATTGTTTTCCCCTAGTTATATCAAGAGAGAACTCTTGTATACCCATTAGTTGTTGATAGTGGAGATATTTGGTGGACTACGGTCCCATGGTTTTTTCCTTTCCACATCGAGAAGGTTTTTCGCATTAAAAATTGTTGTTGCCTTGTTGTGTGATTGTTGGATCATTATTTTCAGATTATTTTCAGAATATATTGTGCTCTATTAAATTTCTTCCTAATAGATTCACACAAAGAGGGAGAATAAACTACTTCTGTTATTTTTGTGCTGGATTCGGATATTTCGAATTGGGCTTTTGTTTATTTTCTTCCAACATAGTGGTATCAGAGCTAGGTTCATATTGTTGTGTATCTTGTGTTGAATAATGGAAGCAAATTTGAGTAGAATGGTTACTTTGAATGGTTCTAATTATCACACATGGAAAGGAAAAATGGAAGACCTTCTTTATGTGAAGCAATTTCATCTACCGGTATTTCCTACTGAAAAACTAGAAAATAAATCTGATGAAGAATGGACACTACTACATTGACAAGTGTGTGGGTACATTAGGCAATGGGTGGATGATAATGTTTTGAATCATATTAGTGGGGAGACACATGCCCGTACACTCTGGAACAAACTTGAACAATTGTATGCTCGGAAGACTGGAAACAATAAAATGTTTCTAATAAAGCAATTGATGACCTTGAGATACCAAGATGGAACCCCATTGACAGATCACTTGAACACTTTTCAAGGAGTAATTAATCAGTTGGCTG